GAAGCAGGCTCCAGGCTCTGAGCCATCAGCCCAGAGCCTGACGCGGGGCTCGAACTCACGGACCGAGAGATCGTGACCTGGCTGAAGTCGGACGCTTAACCGACTGCGCCACCCAGGCGCCCCAACAGCATGCTTTAGGTAGGCAAAGTGTGTGTTTTTCTACCACAGTTAAAAACATATATGTAAATTGTTTTTGAAAAAAGGAAATTTTAGAATATCTGCATGTCCACGTAGCAGTTCAACAAGCTAAACACAAGATTTGCAACACTGCTAAATTAAATAAACAGTATGTTTTAATGCAAAAATTATAAGAGGAGACAATCATACATTGGACTTAATTCTGACCAAAAATACAGAGCAGACTAGTGATAGAAAAGTGAAATAAATACAAGTAATAGTCATATCATCACAGATACTAAAATAGTAAAATTAAGAAATCTTCAACAAACAAAATATTCCCTTATTTAATTGAGCAAAAGAGCTTTCTAAAGATTCAGATAAAATATTTGAGTTTATCTAAGAAGTTTTTTTTTATTTCAAAAGAAAAAAAACTGACAATAAGTTAAAAACGTCCACAGATATAAAATTTGACATGGATGGTATCCTTCAAGTAACATATCCATGTTACTATAAAGACACTACATCTTAAGAGCAAATCTTCAAAAACTATATGTAGATCATATGATCAATAATAAAACAAAAAAAAATCAAACATATAGGTTCACCTAGAAAGAATCTTCTGAGGTCTTAATAAACTGTTACATAAAGGAATATTATCTAATTTAGAAGTGCATATTTTTAGAAAGGAATGATAAAGAATCGTAACTTCTGGGTGGATGATAAGGATAGCAATAAGTCTTCCAAAATCTTTACATTGAAAAAAGACTTCCAGATTGTTACGTGTGCAAAGCCAAACTTATACCATTTGGAGAATAAAGTTAATAAACATTAGTGATGGTTATCTAATTTTGAATTAATTGGGGGGATTTTTTAACAGTATTATATGAGAAATATAATGCTTTTTGCATTTTCATATGCTGATGGATTTGGTTTGGGGTAGACTCCAAACAACTCTTTTGAAGCAGAGGAAAAAAAAATTAAAAAGCACAATCCTCTTTTTATCACCATAGTGCAGCAGAAAATTCAACACTTAATAAGTTGCTACTAAAGCCTTAAAACACTCAAGTGTTTACCAGTTACCATTAACCCAGGTGAATAACCTCTGATAACAATCTTCAAATATGTAACTCAAGAGTCTTCCTTTTGCTCTTATAGCAAAGGTGACTATAAAAACAGGTCCACATGGCAGATCTTGTCCATAGTTATTCAGAGACATTAGTCTCTGCCACTTTCTAAATATGATATTCAAGTTTTCCATAGTCTTCTCCGTCCCATAAAACTGATTTTATGGGTCAGAGGAAAACTCACATTAGTGAGTGGGAACTAAAAGCATATCTTTGGATACTGTGAGAAGATAATGAGGCCTGGAACTTCAATCTTGACAAGGAAAAAGGATGACACTGACTAGAGGTGGATGCACTCTGGGTGAAGTCTGGGACTAGGATCATGTTTCCTCACAAGTGAAAGGAAGCAAAAGAAGATCCAACTGTCTCTTCAGGTTTGGGTCCATAATTCACTATTTGCCTTAGAAAAGGGAGAAAACAGAACTAATTTCATATCCAGAAGCCTAGTGAATCTGTACTGTTGAAGATTATTATGCAGTCTCCTTGAAGGTATCTACAAAGCAATATTGCCTCTGAGGTGTGGTCCCTGGGAAGCAGCTGGGGTGTGAGACAACTGTAAAATTATTTGTGGAGAAAAATGAACATAAAGAAAGGAAAACTTATGTGAAATGTGGACCTGCAGAACAAAATTACATCATACAAAAAGAAACCCAAAGCCATGCAGAAAAACCCACAAAAAATAAGTAAATTTCACAATGTTGAATTAAAAATACCAGAATGCTCTGAAGATATTAAAATAAATGTACTTTTAAAGCTCAGAGTGACTATGAAGAAAATAGTGTCCATAAAACAAGATCAGAAAATAAGAAAAAGAAGAA